GCCGGCGCCGGGGGCGCGGCGTCGGCCGGCGTCGCCGAGGGCTCCACGACGCGGGAGCGCTTCGCCGGCGGGTCCTCCGCGGGCAGCGGCGGCGGGAGCTTCCCCTGGCGGAGGAGCTCGCGGAGATCGCGGTGCGCCGCCGGCTGCTTCAGCGCGTACGTCTCCGGCACGGTGGTCATGCCGCAGTCGACGACGGTGTCGGAGCGGCCGCAGACGACCTCGAAGAAGTACCAGTCCGGCTTGCCCCAGGCCCCCGCGCAGGAGACGTTGGCCGCGAGGACGCTCAAGAAGTACGTGTTCATGGAATAGTCGGCGAGGCGGTCGTCGGGGCGCTCGGGCGACGCCTGGAACGGGTGCGACCGGGCGGTGTCGCCGTCGCCGGCCTATGGAAGGGGACGGGATCACGGGGCGCGCGACCTCGACGGAAGCGGTGTTTGTTGGAGTCCGCGCGGGACCACGCCTCGTTGAAGATCGGGACCTTCGTGGTCGGGCAGATCAATTTTTGAGTCGCGGCCTTGTTGACCAGCTCTTCCAGCGTCGCCAGGCAGCGACCGGGCGTGCCGTCGGCGGCGTTCGTGCGCTCTTCTGCGTGTGTCTGCATGGAGTTCAGGACGCGGCGGAGCCGTGAGAGCACGTAGTTATGCGCCTTCGTGTTGGCGAGGAACTCGACGCGGAAGTAGGACTGGCCCTTGCCGGGCACGAAGGGGCCCGTGAGGTCCGTGCGCGGGTTATTGCGGTACCGGTTGCTCATGTGGGTGGCATGATACCTGCGCGCGCGCGTTCGGATCATGCGAATCGAATTTGCGAGGACACCGTGAATGGCGGTTTCCCCTGGAAAACGCTGAGGCGCCGAGCCGCCTCGGTACGCGTTGATTTGCCCTTAGAATTGACAGCGTTGACAAATATCGTCGAGGGCGGAATCTTGACCCAAACTTCTTGGTCCTTTGACCCTTCGCTGCCACGGAAAGCGGCGATCAGGCATTTTACCTGCCGCTCCTGCTCGGCCATGTCGATTGAGCGACGCCCCGAACAGACTTTGAGAAATAATGAGTTGTCCCACTGGGTGTCCTTGTGCTGGAACGCTGTATAAATCAGCACGCAGTCTGCGAGCGAGTAGCTAGGCGGCGGCTCCGTAAACTGGTTCCGCCTTTCCACTGACACCTCTGCTTCGTGCGCATAGAGTAGGCGCGTGACGTCCTCGCACCAGGACTGCCTGCGCATGAGCTGCATGAGCCAGGGCATCGCGACAATTTGGAACTGCTGCGTAGTGAGGCTGAAGGTGCCGTCGGGTAAGAGTACCGCGAATTCGACATTACAACACCTGCTCTTGCCCGAAGCCGCACGTCTGTCGTTGATTTGTTTCGCGTGATGGCAGCACGACGCAAGGGTATAGTAGAGAATCTGGCCGAGGCCCCCGTCTGAAAGTGACCCTGTGAAGCCCTTGTCCTCCCATCGCAGGAGCCGCTCCTTGAAATTCGCGGCCCATGGGCCCTGGTGGCGCGCCCGAAATTCGGTCGCGCTGAGGTTGCCGCCCATGCTAGCGGGCGCGGGCACGAGAGGACGCACAACCCGTGCGGCCCTGCGGCGCACGATAGACCAAACATCGCTCGCAATAGCAGAGCCTCGGAAGTCGAATCGGTCTTCACCGTGCTTCACCTTGCACTAGCCTTGCACTTCGTCCTCGTATGAGCATG